CCAAGAATGAATGTCCTTGTGATTGTTGTGCCATCCCTGATCCCAAGGATTGCTCCAAGTTCACCCTCTGTATTAACGGTAATGCTATAAAGCAAACTTGTGCTGATGGTCTTCGCTTTAACCCGAAAATCGAAAATTGTGACTATGCCAGAAACGTGGAATGTGACCCACCTTGCGACAAGGACTGTGATGGAATAACAACTCCACCTCCCGGAATTCACTGTAAAACACCATCAGGTCTCTTCCCTCATCCTACTAAATGTAACTTGTTCATTCACTGCTCTCACAATATCCCTCACGTGAAGGAATGTCCAAGTATTCTTCACTTTAACCCCACCCTCAGAGTCTGTGATTGGCCGTGGAATGCCGGCTGTGGTAAGTGTAAAAGAATAAAGAGAGTGGCTTACATAATGAGATAAATAGACGTATAGCTTTAGAATAAGAGACGTATCCAAAGTTCAATTAGATAATGATTAACAACCAAGATCTCAATGGTGTTCTAAATCATAGTGTTATTGGTATAAAGTTACAGATTAATAACTTTTACAGAACACTTGTACAGTCTTGATTTAAAGAGCCTAACAATTCTATTAACTTACTTTACACTATCTACGAAGTCTTAATTTTTACGTCTTTATTACGTAACTAAAGAAATAGCTTGATGAGTGCAAATCTGTTAGTTATGTATACTTTTTTGATTAGCGGCATTTTTATATTTTAGGAAAACCTTGTGACGATATTGATACCCCAGAGGGCGAGTGTGACTGCGACTGCTGTATTAAACCAGTACCAGGTGACTGTGCAGCCTACATTAGATGTGAAAATTATCAAAAATATCATGGAAGATGTACAGGTGGACTTCTATTTAACCCTAAAATAGAAAACTGTGACTTTCCCGAGAACGTTGACTGTGATGATAAACCAGTTCCTGGTTGTAAATGTGAATCTGAATCTGGTCTCTTCCCTCACCCTCACGACTGTACCAAGTTCATTCACTGTGCCCACTGGAAATCACACATCAAGG